CCCCTCTGGGACCAGAGCGTGGCTCTTCCCTCAGGCAAAGATCCCAGACACAAGGGGTTGGCACAGCAAGGAGGAGAGGGGCACCCAGCTTTCCAGGAGGGAGGAGGGCCAGCCTGCTCCCTTTACTCCCTCCCGGTCTACCTGCGTGCGTGGCCCGGGCTTCCCCTCCCTCCACACTCGTATCATGCTGCTGGCATTCAGGAACAGCCCTGTGGCTTAGGTTCAAAGCCAATGCTTGGAACACACTCCTGACCTCGCCTCCAGTCGGAGGGGCCTGTGCACACCCACGGAGAGTTCCAGGCCTGAGAGATCCCGTGGGAGCTGAGGGGGCTGCGCGTGTCAAGTGCAAAGAGCTGCTCTCACGGAGAGTTCAGGCTTGACCAGCTCAGCCTGGCACCTCCCGGACTTGACCCTGACTCTACAAGGCCACATCAGCCCTGGGGGACCAATCAGCAGTCGAGATGCACTTGAGAGAAAGACCCCATCTTCTGTCCCGCTCCCCAAATGCCAGGGCCTTCCCTGCCAGGAAGTCAGGCAGGGTCTGCTGCATGGCCAGCAAGAAGCCCCTCGAACTGGGAGTCCAGAGCTGGGGCTTTACCCGGCACCCAGACGTGGGATACAGCACCTCAAACACCTTTCTTTCAAAATAACAAACAACAACAACAAAAATGCATTTCTTTGAAAGGCAGAACTACACAGGGAAGAGAGAGAGGGGTCATCCATTCCACCACAGCCAGCACTGGTCAGAAGGAAGCCCTGGGAGACAGATAAGGGCTGCCAGAGGCCGAAGGCTGCACCTCTGCAGGACTCGAGGACTCGAGGCTGGAACTGCAGGAACTGGCATGAGCGCCCGCCCCACACACCCTGGCCAGCTCCCCTGTGGCCCTGGGAGACTGTCCCGGGAGGCGATGGCCTGCAGGCGCTGTGGCCCAGGGGCTTGATTGGACTTCAGTCTCTGGACTGGAGAGAGAGAGCTTGCTGCTATTAAAAATGCCCCTTGCCACCTTCATCCCCCATGACCCCCCACCCCATCTCTGATGTTCCTGCTGCCCCGTGGGGACCAGAGCTGGGGCTGGCAGTGGACACCCCTTCTGCGGCCGTTGGAGCACCTCTCGCTCATTTTGAAAGCAACAGATTTCCAGACCAAATAAGGCGGCAGCCCCGGGGCCTCTGCCCACTTCGCACAATTCCTTTTAAGTGTCCAAACGCAATTACTCCTGGAACTCGCCTGCAGGCGGCCTCCCCCAACCTCCCCATGTCAACAGGGCCCAGCTGGGTCCCAGCTGCCTGCCTAGCCAGGGCGGAAAGCCCTTACCACCACGCCTGGTGCCTGCCTGCTGCCCAGCCTCTCTCTCTGGCAACATCCCAGGGCACAGACCCCAGGAGGCCAGCAGGACCTACAGCAACAGTGCCAGGAGAACCTCACTCCGAGGTTGGCACCCAAGCAGAAACCTGTGGGAGGCTGCCAGCAGGTGCCAGGAAAGCCATACTTTCGTCTTTGCTGCCAACTGCCCTTGAGGCATCCCCCTCCCCAGACCTGGACTCTGTGGGCAACCCCAGGAGAACAGGGAATCCCCTCCACCCCCAGTGACTTCCCGGAGAGCCAGGGGCCATGAGAAAGCTGGCCCAGGGCAGACCTGGCCCTCAGGCTCCTGCACTGCAACTCCCCGCCCACCCCCTCGCTGCCAGGCCGACCCAGCCCTGCCTCCAGCCCGCTGCCCGCTGCCCGCTGGGCGTGGGCTCTGCGCCCTGGCCACTAGCGCGTTCCAGGACCCCCTCGCTGGGGGAGGCTGACTCACCCTCCGTTGAGTGAGCCGCGTACACCAGGCCCCACCGCCCGCCAACTCCCCTGCTTGGCCCAGGAATGCGCGAGCCCTGGGTTTTTCCACTCATCTGATTGCCATTAGCGCCGGGGAGAAGGGGACCCCAGGGTCTATGAGCCTGCAGGTGGGCTCAGTGAGAGGCGGGGCGCTGGGGGAGACGGTGTGTGGGGGGGGGGATTGGGTGGTACTGTGAGTCCCCGCCCTCCGTGGAGTCTCCACCCTGAGTCTCCACCCTCCGTGGAGTCTCCACCTGCCACCTATGGTCCCATCAGCCCTTCAGTAAACGGAAACGTAGGCTAGAATGAGGAACAGCGGGGGCCTGCACTGCCCAAAGGCCCCTGGGAGGCCAGCGAAGCCGCCAGGCCAGTGGCTGGACAGCTGGTGCCCCGGGAGGCGGCAGGAGGGAGGGAGAGCCACAGCTGGACTCCGGCCGCAGTGCTCGGGCCAACGTGACGTCACCAAGCGGGGAACTGAGTTCCCAGTGGGGCTGGGGCAAGGGGGGCTCTCCTGAGCCGGGGCATTCCTTCCCGAAGCCTCATCCCCTCTCAGCACCGCCTCCTCCTCCTCCTCCTCCCCCTCCTGCCGGGCCTGGAATTGGGTTGGGGCGGGTTCTCCTCCAGCAGCCGAGGGCCAAGGGCTCATCCTCCACTCTGAGCTCGCGTTTTCCGAGGCCTGGAGGCAGTGTTGGGCACTGCCCGCTGCCCTGCTGGGTCTCTGTTGGCACCAGCGGGAGACGCGAGTCCCGGGAGGAACCCTCCAAGGAGAGGCGGTCTCCACACGCATCGGCCGGCTGCAGGTAGCTCCCCGGGGACCCTGGGACCCGGCGAGGGGTGCGTGGTATGCAGAAGCCTTGGGGTGCAGGCCCGGTGGGGCAGGCAGATGAGGCACGCGACCGTCGGGGCAGGCAGCGTCTCAAGAACCCTGCAGCTGCAAGCAGCTAGCCCTGGAACTCCAGAGCAAGCACGCCTGGCTGGCTCCTACCCAGGACCCCCTGCATGGCTTGCAAGCCAGGGGTATCCCACGCACTCAAGTTGGGGAGAAGGGAACTTTGAAGGACCCCGCCCTCCTATGTAGTTGGCCTAGACCCCCATGGCTAGCTGCTGCCGCAGGCCCAAGCTGTCCTGCACCTCCATCCTGTGGGTGGGGGCTCCCTCAGGCCCCTCCCCTGGCTGTGCACGGGCCAAGTGCGCTTGCTGGAAGAGCTGCCAGGGAACACCCAGCAGGCAGCATCCAGCACGGGGAGCGAGCAAGCTCTCACGCACGCTGCCTTCCAGGACAGCGGAAGCCCAGCTCAGCCGCCTGTGGGCAGCCCCACCCCAGGTCTGCACACCTCGGGATCCCCCCGCCTCTGCAGCCACTGCAGGTGGGATGGCTGCTGAACCCCTGGGCGGCAGTGGCCTCGGACAGAGGCCATTCCAGAGACGGCTGTTCCATAGGGTCTTGGTGCCTCCCAAGGCACCTCAGGGGCCTGGGTGGGACGACACGGTGCTGTCTGCACTGTGTCTGCAGCTGGGTCCCCCCACACAGTCCCGCCGAAGTGGGGACCATCGAGAGGGGCTGGGCCGTGGTTAGGTGTGGTGGTACAAGCAGCAGGCGGGGACTGGGGGGCTGGAGCTGAGCCTGGATCCCACAGAGAGGAGCACATGCAGGCACACACGCTGGCAGCAGGCTCATGTGCTGACACGCTGACACGCAGGCACACACAGGCAGTCACACGGATACATGCCTGCACACAACCACACACCATGCGTGAACATTCACCAACACGTAAGTACACACGCCCCATGCACATCTCACGAGTGGGACCATTTGGCTTCTGCATGAATGAAATGACTTTTTCAGATCCTCCCTGGCTGGGCAAAGGGCTCTCGGGCCCCACAGAGCATCTGCTAGCTGAGGTGAGCTGGGGGAGCAGGGGGGGGGGGCCTGCCCACCTGCAGCCAGGGGCGGAGGGTTTGGGGGCTCAGACTGAGACTCTGGACCGAGGACAGCCCTGGTGGCAAAGCCTGGGGCTCAGACTTCGGGGCCCCCAGGGCATCTGGAAGGGGCCACTGGGGAAGAACGGAGGCCAGGGAGGGGGCTCCGCCTCGGTTCAGTAAGGAGGGAATGAAGTCGGGGATGGGGGCATACACAGGAACACGCAGGCAAGAAGAACCAGGTGATGGGACAGTGGCCCACCTAGGGCAGAGCCCAGCGGTGTGACGGAGCAGGCGAGGGGTTGCACACTTCTGAGGTACCTGCTACCGCATTACACCGATGGGCATGGCTCACTCAGGGACCCCTGCCTCCGCACTGCCCATGACTAAGGGTGCAGGGCCGCATGGTCAGGCAGTGGGGTGCAGGAGCAGTGTAGGGGACCTCACTCGCAGGAAGTCCAGGGTTAAGGAGGTTAGCAGATGACCTTTTCCAGCCAGTGACGGTGTGGCTGCCCAGGGCAGGGCTGGGGGACAAGGAGGAGGACGGGGAGGAGCAGGAGGCAGCGTGTGGCTGCCCAGGGCAGGGCTGGGGGACAAGGAGGAGGAGGGGGAGGGGCAGGAGGCAGCGTGTGGCTGCCTAGGCCCTGCCTGGCTGAAACAAGCCGCCTGGGGAAGGAATTTCGGGGGAGTGGAGCTGAGTGAGCAGGCAGGGGTGTGCCCTGCAGTCCCCTCTCCCAGCCTCAGGGAGGGAGGGGCGCTGCTGTCCTGCAGGGTGGGGGGACCAGGGTCCATTCCAGAGGCGCTGGGGTCAGAGGACCCTGGGAGACCCGGAATCCAGCCGAGTTCCCCCTCCCCAGCCTCCTCTGCAGCCCCGCCCACTGCACAGCAGCGTGTCCCCCCACTGGAAGGGAAGTGGGAGCTGGCAGGAGGTGGCAGCGATGCTACTGAGCTTTCAGGCACCTGTGGGACCTCCTCCTCCAGGAACTCTCCCCTGCCCACTCCCCTCGCGGGGCCAGGCACCAGGGAGGGGCCTCAGAGGTGCATCTGGCTCAGGCATGGTCCCAGGAACACAAATGGGACCAACAGACAGGAGGGACCTGGGGGTTCCCTGGGGGGGTGGCCAGGGGAGGGAAGAGAGCTCTCCAGGGCCCCCACCACTGCCCACATTCCAGCAGTTCTCTCTCTCTGGCCATTTGCCAGGCAGCTGCGGGCCAGGCAGCCAGGAGCCAAGGGCACGGACCTGGACTGGCCAGGCCTGGAGATGGCCGGGAACTGCTCCTGGGAAGCCCATGCCACCAACAGGAACAAGGCAAGTGCCCATGCAGAGAGCTTGGCCCTGGGCTGCCCAGAGGGCACAGTGGGCAGGGACTGGGGCTGCCCGGAGGACGCGGTGGGCAGGGGCAGGGGCTGCCCGGAGGGTGTGGCGGGCAGGGGCTGGGGCTGCCCAGAAGACGCGGTGGGCAGGGGCTGGGGCTGCCCGAAGGGTGCAGCAGGCAGGGGCAGGGGCTGCCCGGAGGGCGCGGTGGGCAGGGGCAGGGGCTGCCCGGAGGGTGTGGCGGGCAGGGGCAGGGGCTGCCCGGAGGGCTCAGCGGGCAGGGGCAGGGGCTGCCCGGAGGGCGCAGTGGGCAGGGGCAGGGGCTGCCCGGAGGGTGTGGCGGGCAGGGGCTGGAGCTGGAGCGGGGTGCTTGTATTTTTGTCCCAGGCCCTTTGCCTGGAATATTCTTGGTTCTGGCATCGTAAGTTGTGTTCCAAAGCGGGAGAAAGCAAACACACAGCCACATGCACACACACGGGGACATGTGGTGCTCCACACAGACACGGCAGGGGAGAAGGAGGAGGGGCAATGAGAGCGCCCAGCTCTGCCTCCGCCATGGATGGACTGGGGTGGGTGGGAGCGAGAGCCCCCACAGGCCCTCTTACGAGGTCGCGGGTGGGAGCTGCCTGCACAGGCTGAAGCGTGCCTGGGAGTTTGACAATGACCTGCACAAACCCCACGTGGGCCTCCATATACTTATTCATGTATTGTCACCACTCCCCAAAGTCCTGGAAGAAACAGTGGCACCCTGACAAAGGTGGAGTGGGGGCTGTGGCTTGCAGGTCGCTCCTGGCTGCTGGCTCCTCCCCAGTCAGCCCCAGCCCAGCGCCCTCCCCTGCACACCACCGCCAAAACGCCCTACCCTCCACTCTCGCTCTGGGCCACACAGGTTACCTGGCCGCTCGAACCCCAGACGGGCACAGGCAACGGAAAGCCTGGACACGCCACCTGCATTGACCCTGGCTTGTCTATATATTTTTTTAGTGTTATTTATTTGCAGAGAGAGAGGAGAGAGAGACCCTCCACTCTTGGTTCACTCCCCAGATCCGTCCAGGTCTCCCACGTGGGTGGTGGGGGCCCAGCGCTCGAGCCATCCTGGGGTGTGCGTTATTGGCAGAAACTAGACTAGAAGTGCGACCCACGTTGGCACTCGAAGGCCAGCTTTGCGTGAGCTCTGCTCACCTAGAGCTTCATGCTCTCTGCCCTCAACGCTGGGCCCTCCAGGGCTTATTCCCCACACCCTCGCACCCCAGCGTAGGCACCAGCCTGGCTCCGCCTCTGCCCTCCCTGTCCTCTAGCCCCCCTGGAAGTCTCCAGCAACGGCTTCTGAGCGGCAGACACAGCGCCGCGCGCTGGCCACATCCAGGAGTGCACCACTCACAACCCCAGCTCTGTGTGCTTGAGAGCGGAGGCTGTCTTCCTGGCCCTGGGACCCCAGCTTCCCGCGGCGCTCCAGGGCCCATCAGCCCTCGACCTCCTTCCCGTGGGATGGCCGGGGGCATCCCCCCAAGTCCCCAGAGCAGGCCTTTACGAGGGAGCCTGTGGCTGGGAACGGCTGCCCCACGCCCAGTGACTCACCCGCCTCGCAGCGGTCCCCGGGGTGACTGCTGATTTTTTCCAGTCCGGGAGAGGCACTGGCTGATCCTACCCTGGGCTGGCCAGCGCCTGCGTGGGAGCTGCCCTTTCCCCTGGCTCTTGTAAATTCCCCAGCTCACGTTCCCAACTAAGGGGAGCCACAGACACCCCCAGGACAACCACAGAGCAGGCCAAGGAGCTGGATTTGCGGGAGCAGAAATGCTGACCCATGCATGCCTTTGGGGTGACGGACTGAGAGCAGAACCCCCTCGATGGGGAGTTCTTCCAGCGCCTCCCTATCCTGGGGAGGAGGTGGTAGGCCCAGGGAGTACACCCTCTCTCTCTGCTCCCCCATTCCCCACCAGGGCCAGGTCTCTATGGCAAGGCAACCAAGTGAATCCTCCCTGGAGAAACGTCCGTCTATCCTGTGCAGATCCTAGAGCCGGGCCGTGGGGACGCTGGCCTTGGTGGGGGTGGCTGGGGGAGTTAATGATACTGTCAGAAGGACAGGCAGGGAACGGCGTCAGCTGGCAGACGGGCTGGGTACGGCCGGGGAGTGTTACGTAGTATAACCATCTCGTTACACCCGGGTCCCAGGGAGGGCCGGGAGGGGAGGCCACGCTGGGGGCGGCACCGCTTGGTGCCCATCCCCCCCAGTGTCCCGATTTTGCCCACCACCACTTGCTAGATTCCAACATGCATTCAGGTGCAGCCAGCGGGAGCCTGGGGCTGGGCCTTTGACTACAGGCACTCACCCCGTGCAGCCAGCCCCTCCACTCCCTGGGAGCCGGTGGCTTCTGCCTTCTTTCGCCCCTCACCCTGTGATCCTGTTATGGGACAGCTCCACCTCCCTTTAAGCTTATTGTATCTATTTTAAAAGTCAGTTACATAGGGAGAAGGAAAGAAAGAGAGTTAGAATCTGCCATCCGCTGGTTCGTTCCCCAAATGGCCACAATGACCAGGCTTGCCCAACCTGAAGCCAGGAGCCAGGAGTCTCTTCCGGGTCTCCCACACAGGTGCAGGGTCCCAAGGCTTTGGGCCGTCCTCGACTGCCTTTCCAGGCCACGAGCAGGGAGCTGGATGGGAAGTGGGGCCGCAGGATTGAAAGGCATGATTGCAGAGAGAAAGGGAGAGACACGGGGAGGGACAGGGATCTTCCACCCTCTCCCTGTCACTCCCTAAATGGCCACAGCAGCCACAGCCAGGATCCTGGACTCCATCTGAATCTCCCACGTGGGATGCAGGCAACACAGACGGCGGCTTAACTCGCAGGGCCACATCACCAGCCCTGGACGTAGCCTCTCAGCCACCGAGCCGAGTGCCTGCTCCTCCCTGGCACGCGTGCTGTCTGGGCTCCCGATGCTCTTGGACTGGTAGCATCCTCCTGGCTTCCCTCATCCCAGAAGGGCTTCCTGCTTGTCTTGTGTGGCACAGACTTCTTTGGAGGCAGTGTCGACCCTTCCCCGGGGCTGTCTGCTGCTCTCCAGCTGTCTGTGCCCATGCCTCTAGACCCGGAGGAGCTGTCCCCGGGGCCTCAGGGGCCAGGGGGCAGGCACGGGCAGCCAGACTCACCAGGCGTGCACTGGTACAGGTATGTCCCGGCGCGAGCGAGGCCCCGGAGCTCTACGGCCGAGGCTTCCTGACCATCGAGCCCATCACGGCGCTGCCACCGCCGGCGGTCATGAACTACATCACCCTGCTGCTGTGCCTGGGCGGCCTGGTGGGCAACGGGCTGGTGCTCTGGTTCTTCGGCTTCTCCATCAAGAGGACGCCCTTCTCAGTCTACTTCCTGCACCTGGCCAGCGCCGACGGCGCCTACCTCTTTAGCAAGGCCGTGTTCTCCCTGCTGAACGCTGGGGGCTTCCTGGGCAGCTTCGCCGACTACGTGCGCGGCGTGTGCCGCGTGCTGGGGCTCTGCGCCTTCGTGGCGGGCGTGAGCCTGCTGCCGGCCATCAGCACCGAGCGCTGCGCCTCGGTCGTCTTCCCCGCCTGGTACTGGCGCCGGCGGCCGCAGCGCCTGTCCGCCGTGGTGTGCGCCCTGCTCTGGCTCCTGTCCCTGCTGGTCACCGCCGTGCACAACTACTTCTGCGCCTTCCTGAGTGGCGAGGCCTCCTCCGCGGGCGCCTGCAAGCACACAGACATCTTCCTGGGCATTCTGCTCTTCCTTGTCTTCTGCCCGCTCATGGTGCTGCCCTGCCTGGCCCTGGTCCTGCACGTGGAGTGCCGGGGGCGGCGGCGCCAGCGCTCGGCCAAGCTCAACCACGTGGTCCTGGCCATGGTCTCCGTCTTCCTCGTGTCCTCCATCTACCTGGGTATTGACTGGTTCCTCTTCTGGGTGTTCCGGATCCCGGCCCCCTTCCCCGAGTACGTCACGGACCTTTGCATCTGCATCAACAGCAGCGCCAAGCCCATCGTCTACTTCCTGGCCGGCAGGGACAAGTCGCAGCGGCTGTGGGAGCCGCTCCGGGTGGTCTTCCAGCGGGCCCTGCGAGACGGCGCCGAGTCCGCGGAGGCCGGGGGCAGCACGCCCAACACGGTCACCATGGAGATGCAGAGCCCCACTGGGAACGCCTCGTGAGAGGCCAGATGTGCGCTCCAGCCCTTGGGCCTATTTCTCCCTCGGGCTGGGGGCTGGCCATGAGACCAAGCAGCCACCTACACGTGGACCTGAACTCTCCTCCTGGCACCAGACTCGCCTGTCTGCTCAGCAGCAGGCCCTCAGGAGGGGTCGCCTGTCTGCCTCCTGTCCCCTTCACCATTGCTCCTTGACAGTGACCCAGTGAGTGCGGCTGAGCAGCCAGCCCCCTCCCAAGCGTGAGGGGCTGCACGCAGACCTGGAGGAAGCAGTGCACAGCGGAGACGGCATCGGGTGACCCCAGCTGTCCCACCTCGTCACCACACCACGTGATGCATTGCTCTGGCAGGTGGGGGGTTGAGCCCGGCCAGTCGTGGGCAGCCTCTTGAATGAGTCCCAGCTTGTGTGTGCTAACTCGAGGTTACCATGGACCTGGGGGCACTTCCTGGGCAACAGGTCCCCCCGCGGACCGGCGGCAAAGTGTCCAGTCAAGCACAATAGCCCGGTAACATGTATCCATAAATAAACATTTCATATCCTGCAGCAAGACGTGCCGCCCATGTCCTCCTTGGGTCTCTGTGCACGGTGAGGACGCCCGGGCAGCTTGGGGTCCTGGGCCAGGCCCACCAGCCAGCCAGGTCGGGGGTGCCCCAGGCCAGCAGCACAGAGGCCATGCCAAGGCCATTTTGTACCCCGCCCCCACTGCTGGACACCTGCAGCCCACTGGGAGCCTTATTCCTGCTCAGCTCCGCCTCGGCCCTATTGCTTCTAACAGCAGCGGCGACTAAGGGCGGGGACACAGTGGGACTCCTGGGGAGCCACCTGCTGCTTCTCTCCCTGCTCCCTGGTTGAGGATGGCCGCCTGGTCCAGGATGGGTCCAGGAGGCCACCCAGTCCATGATGGCCGCCCGGCCCAGGATGACTGCTCAGCCCCGAGGCCCCAGAGCAGGACCCAGCTTCTCTGTGTCCCATAAGCCCTCCCTGGAGTTAGCCTCCCCCGAGATGCCCATCCTGCACTCCTGGGGTCCAGCCCGAGACCCCTGCCCCACTGCCCCGAGCTCAGGCAGGGACTGGGCAAAGGTGAGAGCAGCAGCCCTCCCTCGGGGCCTCAGCCATGACTCACGGGCCTTCCCTAGGCTGCTGCCCCTCGGAGCTCCCTGGCCTAACAGTTCTTGCTGCCTTCCGCCCGGCCTGCTGCCCCAGCGAGCCCTTCCCTGTGCCAGGGAAGAGGTGACAGCATGGGACATGCAAGGCAGTTCCAGGCCCTTGGGGTGCTCAGGGTTCCAGGGCCTGCCATCTCCCCCACTCCTCCATGCTGCTCTGAGCATTTCAACCAGGAGGAATTACCGGGGGGTGGGGGGGGGCTCACTCCCGTCGGACACCTGGGTTCCAGGGCCAGGAGAAGCCACACGGGGCCCTGTGCACACGCAGGAGGAGGCAGGGCAGTGACCCGGCCCAGCTGAGAGCTCCTACGATGGTCGCACAGTTTCAGCCTCTGCGTGGCTGTGGCATTTCGGCCCAGTTCCCAGAGGTCACCTGCTCCCAGCCTGCAGCTCCGAGGGCCCCACAGGGAGTTGCCATCCAGCCCAGGAGGAGGGGTGCCTCTGGACAGGGCTCCAGCTGCACCATGAGGCACCTGCTCTAATGGAGGGCACCCATATTCCCCTGCTGCCTGCAGCCATGCTGCGTACAAATGGTCACCCTCAGACAGAAGCGAACCGGCTCTGGGAGGCAGCAGCCCCAGGTACCGGCCGCAGAATCTAGTATCCCCTCAGATAGCAAAGGCCCATTCTGATGGCTAAGCCAGCCAGAGGGTCCTGACCAGGCACCCAGCACAGAGACCCGGGGGGTGGAGTGGAGGGAGAGTAGGGGGAGGGGACTGCAGGAGTCACCTGGAACCAGCCAGCCCTACGCAGCGCCGGGGGCTGTGGCCACCACCTGCTGGAGACCTACTGTGTGTGGGAGCTGGAGACGGGGCGCGTCCTCTGGGAGCAAGTCCTGTATGAGCATCCACACCCTCCGCTACTTTTTTTTCTCCCCCCAAAATGTATTGATTTGTTTGAAAGGCAGAATTACAAGAGGCAAAGAGAAAGGTCTTCTGTCCACTCGTTCACTCCCCAGATGGCCGCAATAGCCAGAGCTGACCTGTTGCCAGGAACCAGGAGCTTTTTCTGGGTCTCCCCTGTGGGTATAGAGGCCTAAACACTTGGGCCATCCTCCACTGCTCTGCCAGGTGTATCAGCATGGATGGGAAGTGGAGCAGCTGGGACATGAACTGGCGCCCATAGGGCATGCTGCCATCACAGGCCACAACACTAGCCCCTAATGGACTGTGTGAGGCAGCTTGGGGCACTCCGGCTCCACAGCGACCACTACATGCCATGGGGAGCCGTGGACTGCAGGCAGCGAAGGCCCATCCCCTTTGCCCTGTCTAGGTCCTCCAGTGCCTCCAGGAGCAAGAAGATGCACAGCCTACCTTCAGTAAACGCCAGTGGAGCAGCCACCTCGCAACCCCCAGGGGCGCAGGACAGGGGCGGGAGGGGCAGGCAGGGCCTTGCAGTGAGGGGCTGGGCCTCCCCCAGCTACTTCCTGCCAAGCACGCTTTGGGAGGGAGGGACCTGAGAGAGGCAGTGCAGGCAGCCAGGACCCTGGAGGAGGCACCGTGGCTGTGGGAGGGGGCCAGTTTGCCCCCAGGTCTGTCCTCTTTGCAGGCAGAGTCTGAACTCACAGCTGTCTATGGGACACTCACCTTCCATGCCAAAAATAACCCATCAAAAGCAAAACAAAACAAAAACAATGTGTTCATTTATTTAGAACACAAAAAGAGAAAGTTCTGTTCATTGGCAGCAGCCAGGAATCCGGGCTCCGTCTTGGGCCTTCCCCCATGGGTGCAGGGTCCCAAGGACTCAGGCCGTCCTCTGCTGCCCTCCCAGGTGCACTAGCAGGGAGCTGGAGCAGAAGTGGAGCAGCCGGGACTAGAGCCAATGACTGCATGGAGGTGTTGGCACCGCTGATGGAGGCTAAGCTTACCACGCCCCGGTGCTGGCCCCGTATCGGTGCACACTTAATGACATTCCCAAATGGGACGACAGAAAGACATAATAAAATCATCACAGGTCCATATTTGTAGCAGTTGGAAAAAAATCTCAACGACGCATTTTAAAAGCTTAACTACACAGATAACAAACTGATCAGGCCACGGTCTCAGCAAAGATCAGGAAGTCCCTCGCTTGAGCCGCCTTGCGCACAGCAAAGTCAGACACAGTCGCATAGAAGACAGCTGAAGCCACACGCTGTAAAATGTAATCGCTTGTGGAAATGTACCTTTAAAATGGTTTTAAATTTTGGGCTTGCGTTGCGGATCCAAGTGCCAATATCCCATGGGGCACTTGTTCGTGTCCCACCTGTTCCACTTCCTGTCCAGCTCCCTGCTACTGACCTGGGAAAGCAGCGGAGGCTGGACCCTGCACCCACGTGGGAGACCAGAAGAGGCTCGTGGCTTCTGGCTTCAGATCAGCTCAGCTCCAGCTGTTGCGGCCATTTGGGGAGTGAACCAGCAGAAGGAAGACCTCTTTGTAAATCTGCCTTTCCAATAAAAATAAACAAATCTTTTTTTAAAAAATGAGTTCTCGAAGTGGGAACTCTGTCAGCTGATTAAGCCAGAAGCACAAATAAGGAAGAGTGGACTGGTGATGTGAAAAATCACGAGATTCGGGCCTGGCGCGGTGGCGCAGTGGTTAAGATCCTCGCCTTGCACGCCCAGGATCCCATATGGGCGCCAGTTCTAATCCCGGCAGCTCCACTTCCCATCCAGCTCCCTGCTTGTGGCCTGGGAAAGCAGTCAAGGATGGCCCAAAGCTTTGGGACCCTGCACCTGCGTGGGAGACCCGGAAGAGGCTCCTGGCTTCGGATCGGCATAGCATCGACCGTTGCGCTCACTTGGGGAGTGAATCATCGGAGGGAAGATCTTCCTCTCTGTCTCTCCTCTCTGTATATCCGCCTTTCCAATAAAAATGCCGCAGAGCGCTGTGGGACAGGTGTGCCACTGGAAGGCAGGAAGAACAGCACCTGCTTTGGGCCAAGGCTAACAGCCCGACTGCCCCAGATCACGCCGCTGGGTTTGTAGCTCTTTTGAAAGATGTAACATGGCCAGAGCAGATGGCGTCACCTTCTGCCAGCTCCCCCCTGGGAAGTTAATCCCCCGTCACACAGACTGTTCCCGCAGGCAGCGCAGAACAGCGGCTCCGGCGAATTTGGGAAGCAGGTGTAACCCTGAAGCCCTGACATACATCTCAAAGCCCAGAGAACGGTAGGTACCTCAGAAGGGCAAACGCTGAGCCAATTTCAGTCACCAACAGGGTGGAAAATGCCCCAGATAGAAAACAGAAGCAGATCAGGGAACGAAAGCAGACAAGCAACGCTGTATCCCGGAAATGGAGACCTGTCCCTCCGCCAGGGCATCCGACAAGAGGGAAGGAAAGAAAATGGTTATCTTAGTAGACGCAGAAAAAGATTTCTGATAGAGATTTTGTTATTACTTTATGACTTAAAAAATATCTCAGCAAACCTGGAAGCAAACTTCCTCCCCCTGAAAAAAGATGAAACCAAAGATTGCAACGTTGTATCTAAGGAAGCCACTTCAGACAGCTCGGGAACTGGAGACTGTGGTTAACCCAGAGTGTGCCAGGCCTGGCTGAGCCTTCTGACCCCAGCCCTCCACCAGTGTGGCCCGTGGGGAGGGGGTGCGGCCCCTGGGGAGGGGGTGCAGCCCCTGGGGAGGAGGTGGGTGTGGCCCCTGGGGAGGGGGTGCAGCCCCTGGGGAGGAGGTGGGTGCAGCCCCTGGGGAGGAGGTGGGTGCAGCCCCTGGGGAGGGGGTGCTGTCTCTGGGGAGGGGGTGGGTGCAGCCCGTGGGGAAGGGGTGCAGTCCCTGTGTGTGTTTGGGGGTGGAGTAATGCCAGTGGTTCAAGTAGATGTGTCCTTATTGCCCACATGGGAGACCTGGA